ACACGTCTAAACGTGAGATTAACAATATGCCTTTTCCTAATACATAACAAGAAGTAGCATGTACATTAATTAAAAATGACAATAATTTATTTGAAAATGACACGTCTTTACTGGAAAATAACAAGTCTAAACTTGAGATTAACAATGTGTCTTCTCCTGATACACAATCTAAACGTGAGATTATGTAATCTAAACTTGAGATTAACAATGTGTCTTTACTGGAAAATAACACGTCTTTTTATTGGAACCCCCTCTTTTTTTTTAATTAAAAAAATGGGTTAGTTGTCTAATAAAAAGTAACAATAATAGCAGTACTAGATAGTATTTAATGACAGAAAAATACCAAATAATTCTATTTTTTTTAAGAAGATCAATATTCGCGGCACGCACATTGTTGTTCTTGTATTACACTCAAAAGGCTCATTCTTGCCTTAATTACTTAATTACAATTACAAGGATAGAGCTTTATTTTATATTAAAATAAGGCTCTAGTTTATATTTTATATACAATTAACAAGTCTAATCTCACGTTTAGACGTGTTATTTTCCAGTAAAGACACATTGTTAATCTCAAGTTTAGATTACATAATCTCACGTTTAGATTGTGTATCAGGAGAAGACACATTGTTAATCTCAAGTTTAGACTTGTTATTTTCCAATAAAGACGTGTCATTTTCAAATAAATTATTGTCATTTTTAATTAATGTACATGCTACTTCTTGTTATGTATTAGGAAAAGGCATATTGTTAATCTCACGTTTAGACGTGTCATTTTCCAGTAAAGACGTGTCATTTTCAAATAAATTATTTCCATTTTTAATTAATGTACATGCTACTTCTTGTTATGTATCAGGAAAAGTTGCTTTGTTAATATCAAATTTAGACTTGTTATTTCTCAGTTAATACTTGTCATCCTCAGGTAAATTGTTGTCACGGGCTGGAGTCACAGTGAAAGAGTCAACTTATATTTTTGTTTGCATTATGAAGTTAACAAGTCTTTGATGGCCAATGGTTATCTACCCTTTTGTTGGCCCAAATGGCCAAGGGGTTGTGGGATCAAATCCCACCCCCACCATTTCTTGCAATATTCTCCCATAAAAAAAACACTATTACAAAAAAAAAAACTCCACCAGCAGCCACCACACCGGTGGCTGGCGGCGACGCCCGGCGGAGGCTGCCAGCTACCGGCGGCTAGTCGCGGGCGGTGGCTGCCGACGGCCGGCCGCCGGTGAGGGGCTGAGTTTTTTTAAAAAAAAAAAGACAAAGGGCATTTTTGTCATTTCATTGAATTTTAAAATTCCAATTTGGGAAGGATCTCCCTCTCTGTCATTACATTTCCTTAGCTTCCCAAATTAGAATTTCATGAATTCCACCTTCTTTATTTGTCATTTTCCCTATATTATTTTTATTTTTTAAGATGAGATATTTTAATATTACTTATATTAAATTATTTTTATAATTAAGTTTGAACATTTTTTAAAAATTTTATTTAAATTATATTTTATAAGTCATCACTGATTTGTTCCTAAATTAACCCTAATCTAACTTACTAAGTCCTAACTCTTAATTCATTATCTCGACTAATTCAATCATCAATTCTGTTTTTTGAATCTTACTTTTAATTATTAATACAAAAAAATTAATAAAATTTAATGTTTTTCGGATAAAATACATTGGAATTAACGTGGGTGTGTTTGGGTGTCTCTTCAAACCATGGTTTGCGGAAAACATAATCCGAACACTCATAAAAAAATCAAAACCATGGTTTTGGAAAAAGCATTTTGAATACGCTTTTGGAAAAAAATTGAAGAGTGTCATATGGATATGAGGATCTTTTTTTGGGACTAGACACATATGCCCCTCAAGCTTCAATCTTCCGATCCTTCACTGTTTAGAGAGGTGGTATGTTTTTTTTTTTAAACCAGAAAGAGGTAGTATGTTGTTACATTGTACTTTTTTTTTAATTTCTTTTCTGTTTATAAAAAATTATTCATCTTTTTCAAAAATATTTTTAATCTTATATTTTATAAATATTTTTACACATGTAGTAATAATTAATTAATTATATTAAAAATGAGAGGTAGTATGTTATTATAAAAACTAGTTGTGAAAAAATGTTATAGAATTTCATGTTTAAAATCTTTAAAGCAAATTAATATTTTTCTATTAGAAAAAAAATCATTTTTCTATAGACATATTTAATCTTATAATTTATACATATATATACATATTAATTATTTATTAATTATGTTGGTAAAAATTATTTTACTAACAATTTTATTCCTTCAAGTCAAAATATATTATAAAATCTATCCCTTATATAATTGTCATATTGACTTATGCCCTTTTTAGTAATTTGTACATGTAAAAAGTATTTTTGGTAACAACTATCCAAACACTCTTACTTCTCAGAATCACTTTTTCACAAAATCTATTCTTCAGAAAATCTATTCTCTCCAGAAGCTATTCTTCAAACTATAATTGGGTTTCATCCAAACACCCCCTAAATATGACTGGGGACTGGGGAGTGTGTGCAGATGATTTGGATTTAGATAATAGATTGGTGATTTTTTTCCCCCTCTACTTATAGATTGCTGATTTGATGGACCACAACGGCTTTTAATCTTTTTGGGTTTGACCTACCGAGACTTGTGAGATGGGCTGATCCACTTAGATTGGCCCATGGACTTGGATTGGATCCATCATATACATTTTTCAATCAACATGCCAGAAATACTATGAGTAACAAAAACAAAATTGAAATTTAACTAACACATACGGTTTTTTTATTCATAAAAATATACTCTTTCTGTTATTAATATAAGATCTATTTAACTAATTTGATTAGATTAAAAAAGTTAGGTAAGTTAGTTAATTATAAGAAATATGACATGTAATCATCTTCTTTAATGTCCTCCCTCCCTCTTTTACTTGATTATGGTTGAGGGAGTATCCATAAGGGTAATTTAGGAAAAATCGATAAATATGAAAAAATAGGTCTTATATTTAGAACAAAAATCAACTCAACAATTAAGTCTTATATTAAGGATCGGATGAGTACATTTTTTCCTATTAGTATATTTGAACATGGGAGATAAATATACCTTAAATAAATTTATTTCATCATTCATATGTGACGCAGACAAGAGGACAAATCAAACTAAAAGTCTAGTCAAAATGATCGTTTTCATCATCAACTATTCGCACATGGGATATGTCAATTATGGTTTAGGTGCCGTCATCAAAATTTGTTAATAATCGGTTAGTCAATGATTATCTCAACAGACTATCTTAATTTAAACCCTTACGTTTTGGTACATTTTATGATTTCTACATATTTTAGCTTAATTGCTATTTTTTCAAACAATGCCTTGTTTTCTTCGTCAAATTATTTGTTTATACAACCTAAAATAATACATCAAACAGCATCATTCAAAGGCAACTCATTGACGAAAATAACAACTACTCTGCACTGTTGAATTTTCGGGTCAAAGCCATGTTCCCCTCCTTCAGTATTTTCTTATTTCAATAAAACTTTTCAATAATCATTCTTGTGAGTGGATTCTTAGGGAAGCAAATTTAGTGGGTGTTTGGCAATAAGAAAAAATGCTTTTAAAAAGCACTTGTATGCAAAACAAAACAAACTCCTCCACATATTTATTTCGTATATTATAAAAGTACATTTAAAATCATTGTTTTGTAGCCATTGGATTGCTAAAGCTTCAATGAATGAGCCTTGTCTTCAATTTGTATGTCACGACCTTTGTTACATGTAGAGCTGGTAATATGGGTTGAACATGTGGGTCTAACCCGCCAACTCACAAAAAAATGGCAGGTTAGAGTTGGCTTTTAGCTAACCTGTCAGTAAACAAGTTTTTTAACCCGCACCGTTAGGCTCGTAACCTGTCGTGGGTTAGCCCACCAACCCGTGAGCTAACATCATTTATTTTTTTAAAATTATTATAATTATATTATTATATATTATATCCTATCTAAAAAAAAATAAAAAATACATATATAATTAATTGGTGCTTTCAATCAAATATTTCAAGAAAAAATAAAAATGTCATAATATTTTTTTAGATATTGTGTATAAGAAAAAATATTAACAAGTAAAAAAAATTTAAAAATAAATAAATAAGTGTTGACGGGCCAACCCACCAACCTACTTTCGTAGGTTAGAGTTGGCTAAAAGCCAATCTGTCTTTAAACAAGCTATTTCAACTCAACCCATATGGGTTCAACCCGTCACGAGTCCACCACAACTCGTGGGTTGGCTCGTATTACTAACCCTAGTTACAAGAGCATAAGCCGTTGGTCGATGCGAGTTACTTGTTTGTTGTACTTTTATTTTGATTTTTCTTCTTTGTTTCCTTAGTTACTTTTTTTTTTTTGTTTCTACTGGTTTGTTTTTATCATAAATATATGTATTTGACCAGCTATTGGTGTTTAATGTATCTTTGTTGGCCAAAAAAAAAAAATACTATCTTCAGTCCTTAATATAAAATCTTATTTGACTTTTATTTTAGTCCTAATTATAATACCCCAATCCATTTTGTCTCTCATATTTATTTATTTTTTTCCTAAGGTAGTCTCTCTAATAATAGTAGTTCTAGCCAATAAACTTGATTAGCAAGAATATTTTAAAAAAAGACAATACCTATTTATTACAAATAACTAACTTAACTTATTTTCTTAATTTTTTCAAATTAGTCAACTAGTTTTTATAATTAGGACAAGAGGTAGTAAGATATTAATTTCAAGTAAACACACGCCGGCCTACACACACCACCTAAGAACAATGTATAATTTGGAAATGCCTGTTTAGACACCCATTAGAAATATAAAAATATTAAATATATAATGAAGTCCCTCATCATGTGATTAGATGATTAATCACCACTACATAAGAGACCATCCGAACCAACTCAAACTACTCTGCTCCAAGCGACGAAGTGGTGAATTAAGATTCTATTTGTTCTCGTTGGGTCTATTTATTCAAAATAGAACTTCATTTTTTATTTCCTGCTCGGGCATCCACAATATAGATCCAAGCATATCTAACAGAGTAAAATATATATAACCCTAGGGACAATAGCGGATAGGAACTATATTGAGGTCATTTTTCCTTTTCACTGTGACACCAAAAGACTCATCCATGTCAAGCTTCGTCCCTTCTGGAAGCTTCCAATCAAAGTGGTAGAGTAAATTGGAAAGTAACAGTTCTAAAACAGGTGTTGCAAATGTGATTCCAGGACAAATTCTTCTTCCAGCACCAAATGGGATATAGTCGAAGTTTAAACCTTTGAAGTTGTAATCAGTCGATGTGCTAAGAAATCTCTTTGGCTCAAATCTCTCTGGTTCATTCCAATTCTTCGGGTCTCTTCCAATAGCCCATGCATTAATAATAATCTTTGTCTTGGAGGGTATTTGATATCCATTGATAACACAGTTTTCACTGTTCTCTCTTGGAACTAACAATGGCACAGGTGGATGTAGCCTTAGAGTTTCTTTAATAACAGCACCTAAATATTTTAACTGATGAAGTTCTGATTCATCTACATACCCTTTGCTTCCATAGACTCTTCTTACCTAATGCAAAACCAATAAATAATATCGTAAATCAACTTAATTATTTCAAATTTATAAATAAAATATGAAAAAATAAATAATACTAATACACGCAAAACCTACAAAATTGTAATAAAATACCTCTGCTTGTGCCTCTTTCATAGCCTCTTGGTTTTTGAGCAATTCTGACATTGCCCACTCCGTTGTGGTTGCTGTTGTGTCAGTTCCAGCAAAGAAAACATCCTGGGATTGAAGATATGAACGATTAATAATTACAAATTATTTAAACTTTAAATTTTGAAATAATAAGACAAAGTTTATGCAACTAACTTGAAGAACAGCTTTAATGTTGTCAAGAGATAAGGGGATCTCAAAGTCATTCTTCTTTTGAATCCTAAGAAGAACATCAACAAGATCCTCCTCGGCCTCTCCAACATTATTTCTTTTCTTTTCTTCGTGGTCTCTAATGATGTCATCGAACACTCTATCTCCATCTTTGTGTAACTTCATGATTCGGGCTCTCATTCCAGTGACGACACTAAGAAATTTCAACGAAGGATAGAAATCAGAAATCGATAACCCAGAGCTTATCTTTATCGCTTGCTCCATAATTTCCAAGATATGTTCCACATTCTTCGTCTTCTTCCCAAACGCGGCTCTTGCAACTACGGAATTTGCAACTGCAAAGATTCTTCGACTAAGGCTCATGACAGAACCTTCATGCTCAGAGATGTTCCTCACAAGTGCTGAGATCTCCTCTTCCCTTATCCTTCTGAATGATTGAACCCTCTTTGATGAGAAAAGCTCCAACATACAAATCTTTCGAAGTTGTCTCCAATAGTTTCCATATGGGGAAAAGAAGATGTTTGTGCTGTTGTAAGCAAGGATATCAGAAGCAAGAATTCTGGGTCTGTTTGCGAAGATCTGATCATGGGTCTTCATTATTTCTTTGGCATATTCAGGTGAAGACACTATGATATGAGAAAGCTGTCCAAGTTGAAGATGGATGAAGGGTCCATACTTGTTTGCAAGATCTGTGAGAGTACGATGAGGTAGTGGGCCGGCAAGTTGGTGGAGGTTTCCGATGAGAGGTAATTTCCATGGCCCTGGAAGTGGGTTTTTGCCGGGTTTCTTGGAGGAAGATAGCTTGAAGATCACAAGGAAGAAGCAGAAGAAAGTGAAGATGATAGAGTATAAGATCTGACTCTCCATGCTAACATGTGTGACGATGGGATTGCAATCACTAATTGAAGTGAGGTTCTGCGTTGTCAAGTTGTAATTTTTATACTGAACAATGAAAAATGGTCGCATATATTATAATCCTCCAAAGTTGTATAGTCCTGATCGCCTGCGTTTTAATATGATTTATTTGCAATGAGGATTGACTTTATGAAGTTTTAATGGATTTCTCCTTTAATTTTGTACCAACGTATTTCACAAGGCGTTGACTTACAACACTTTAAGGAGAAAAATAATGCAGAGGTAACGTTTTAAACAAACTGTTATTAACTTTATATTACGTTATTTTCATATGTAAAATTTCAAAGACTACCCTATATATATATATATATATATATTTTATCCTCTTACCAAATTAATCTGAGAATTCCGTCTAATCAGATCTTTTTTAGCCCAAGTAACCAAATCATTCAGATGTCTGTTCTGATGACACTGACGTGGTGTTTGTTTTTGTTTTTCTTTCCATGTTGGCCTGAAGAGTTCATTTGATTCATTTCAATCCGTGGATCTCGAAAATGACTAAATAAAATTGATGGTTTGATTAAAAGAGAGAGGCAAGAGCGAGGCACCGAATCAAGTCAAGATTGTCGTACTTGTCCCGTACGTTGAATAAGAGCCACACGAGATAAGCTGAAATTAAAAGTATGAAAAATAAAAAATAATTAACTAATTTTGATTGAAATGTGTCATTTTATATGTATTAGTAGGACAACAGGATAGGTACGTAAAATTAAGCATCACTCTTCGCGACACCAATATATGCAATTAACAAGCCAAACCAAATACCAATTAGATCAAGTTTCATCATTAAATATATATTTATTACTTTAATTTGGTAAGTTTACCTTTTTCCGGAGCTTGTTTACAAGTTATTTTCTCATATGATTAGCGAGCTTTAGTTTTTTTTTTTTTAATTGTTTCCTCTTTCAATTGCAGTGTCGTCATCGTATTCCTTGAAAAGATTATAATTCATCCATCAAATTAAAGCTAGCTTTTGGCTATATATATTTCAATATATGGAAATATAAATATGATTAATAAGTGCAGTTTCCTAATCTTTTACTTTCATCAGTTGAGCATCTGCGTTTGCATATACACAATTTCACGCATGTTTGATAGAAATAAGCTTGCGTTTTGATAAACATGGCTTTGATTTATTGCAAATCTTTTGCTTCCGTAATATAGATTCAAGGATATATATCCAACACTGGCCAGAACATATTCCAAGTGATAAATATATACATGAAAACCTAATAGTAAGGGGAATAGCAAAAAGGAACTACATTCAGATCGGTTTTCCTTTTAACCACGGCACCAAAAGACTCGTTCATGTCCAAATTCTCAAGCTTCATCCCTTCAGAAAGTTTCCAATCAAAATGGTAAAGTAAATTAGAGAGTAACAATTCTAAAACAGGTGTGGCAAATGTGATTCCAGGACACATCCTTCTTCCAGCACCAAATGGGATATAGTTAAAGTTCAAACCTTTGAAGCTGTAATCAGCCGATGTACTAAGAAACCTGTTTGGCTCAAATCTCTCTGGTTCATTCCAATTCTTAGGATCTCTTCCAATAGCCCACGCATTAATCATAATCTTTGTCTTGGAGGGTATTTGATATCCATTGATAACACAGTTTTCACTGTTTTCTCTTGGAACTAACAAGGGTACAGGTGGATGTAGCCTTAGAGTTTCTTTGATGACAGCACCTAAATATTTCAACTCATGAAGTTTAGATTCATCCACGTACCCCTTGCTTCCATAGACTCTTCTTACCTAATGCAAAACCAATAAATAATATCATAAGTCTACTCAATACTCCAATATACTAAGAATCATATTTACATACTTACGCAAGACTAAGAAAATGTACGCTACTAAAACATTGGAAGTTCAATTTGTGTCCATACCTCTGCTTGTGCCTCTTTCATAGCCTCTTGGTTTCTGAGCAATTCTGACATTGCCCACTCTGTTGTGGTTGCTGTTGTGTCAGTTCCAGCAATGAAAACATCCTGAAAATGGAATTCACAACTATCATTAGAGGGACATGTAAGCAATGTGAGTTTATAATAATAAGTGCACGTGAACTAACCTGAAGGACAGCTTTGACGTTGTCAAGAGATAAGGGAATCTCAATACCATCATCCTTTTGAATCCTGAGAAGAACGTCAACTAGATCCTCTTCTATCTCTCCAACGTTATCACCTTTCTTTTCTTGATGGTCTTTGATGATGGCTCCTAACACTCTATCAAAGTCTTTGTGCACCTTCATAGTTCGAGCTCTCATCCCAGTGATGAAACTAATAAATTTTAGTGAAGGATAGAAATCAGAAATTGATAACCCAGAGCTTATATTTATCACTCGCTCTACGATTTCCAGGATGTGTTCTACATTCTTTGTCTTCTTCCCAAGGGCCGCTCTTGCCACTATAGAATTTGTCAGTGCAGAAATTTTTGGACTGAGGCTCATGACAGAACCTTCATGTTCAGAAATGTTCCTCACTAGTGCTGATATCTCCTCTTCCCTTATCCTTCTGAACGATTGAACCCTCTTTGATGAGAAAAGCTCCAAAATACAAATCTTTCGAAGTTGCCTCCAATAGTTTCCATATGGGGAAAAGAAGATGTCTGTGCTGTTGTAGCCAAGGATATCAGAGGCAAGATATTTGGGTCTATTTGCAAAGATCTGATCATGTGTCTTCATTATTTCCTTTGCATATTCAGGTGAAGACACTATGATATAAGAAAGCTGCCCAAGTTGAAGATGGAAGAACGGTCCATACTTGTTTGCAAGATTTCTGAGAGAATGATGAGGTAGTGGGCCAGCAAGTTGGTGGAGGTTTCCGATGAGAGGTAATTTCCATGGCCCTATGGGTAGGTTTTTGCTGGGTTTAAAAGAAGATAGCTTCAGGATTACAAGGAAGAAGCAGAAGAAGAAAGTGAAGACGACAGAGTATGAGATCTGAATCTCCATGCTCAAATATATGCTGATGGGATTGTAATTATGAATTGAAGTGAGGCTTTGCGTTGTCAAGTTGTGATTTTTATACTGAACAATGAACAATTTGTCGCGTATATATAATTCTCCAAAGTTGAATAGTCCTCATCACCTGCGTTTTAATATGACTTATTTGCAATGAGGACTGACCTTAACGGTTTTTCCATTAATTTTGTAGTAACGTATTTCACATGCTGTTGATTTACTACAATTTACGGAGAAAAATGTAGGTAACGTTTTAAAAAAATTGTTAATAACTTTATATCATGTCATTTTCACGGTATAAAATTTCACAGTTTTTTTTTTAAAAATCTCTATCAGATTGGATATAATAACACCCCCAAATATATAAATATATTGATATTAAATTATTAAGGGAAAAGTAATATGCTGGTCCTTAAAGTTCTACAGGATTTTTAAGTAGGTCCCTAAAGTTTTTTTTTTTATTAAATCCTTATACTTACTAAGGTTATAGCCGTTAATTCTTTCGGACGAAAAATATTACAGAATGTTAATAGATTGAAAACGGCGTTGGTACTGAAGTGGAAAACTCGAGCTGTGATATACGTCTTCGACGACGTGGCGGGGTATAAGATCTTCAGCACTAAGGAACGCCTGTAAATGTTTCTCCAGGAAGCCATTGCCCACTTTTTGATGACCATGGAAGTCCAAGGAAGAGCAAGTCGTGCCCAGTGAAGGAAGGGAGTGAGGAATGCTGACATTGGGCATTGATAAATTTCGCAAGCGAAGGGAACAAAAATAACACTCGTTATCACCATTTTCAGTTATTTTCCAGCTAAAATCTGTTTCAGAGTTTAGACCATTCCTTCCTTTCCTCCATTGAATCCAACAAATTGTTTACTCAATACCCAAGAGTTACACTTATGCATATAGAAGTTTTGAAAAACTGGATCATGTCCAAAGCTCCATGCTCAGGTCCCAAAAAAAAAAAAAACAGATCCAAAGCTCCATGCTTGTGTAATCTATTATATGTTTATTGGTTTTAAGCCTACCTCTGTTTTTTATCCTTAAAAATAGGGATAAACAAAGTAACTCAATTTACCAGAATGCAAAATTGAAAAACCAGGAGATAATATTAAAAAGTATCATGTACTCTTAATCAACGTAGGGGGTAAAATTATTGGCTTATAAAGACTGGGTATTGCACTTTGAATTGAAGAAACTCATGTTTCAATTCTCCAAATATATCATGAGATGCTTCTACAGCACTTTGAACATAGGTAATGATTGGAACAGTTGTATAATACTAATGATGTAGCTAATTATTAGAAAGTTTTGGGATATGCATTAAAGGAAGAAATATATTATGATAGACCTTGATGCAGTTGTATCCAAATAGTGAGAGAATGATAGACCAAGAAGCTTGATGAACGGTCTCATCAAGTTAGCCAATTCTTTTTACTTTGATGCAGTTGTATTAAAATTCCAGCAAAGAGCAGACGTTCGCTAGGGACCTCAATGTCAGAGACGTTTACTATCCGTTAATATTTTATAACATTTTTTGTCTGAAGGATTAACGGCTATAACGTTAATAAGTATAAGGATTTAATAAAAAGAAAAAAACTTTGGAGACCTGATTAAAAATCATATAGAACTTTAAGGACCAACAGATTACTTTTCCCAATTATTAATAAAATAACAATGATTCACAATCATCAATTTAGAAATGATTATTCGGTAGAAATATTAGTTTTTTTTTCCGGTACAAGATAAGAAGGGAAAATCATATTGAAGGTACTTATACTTTCTCTCAATTTTTAATTTGGTACCTATGTGTTTTTTTCTCTTTAATTAAACATTTAATTTTATCTTTTTAGCAACATTAGCTCTTATAACTTTGTTCTATTGATATTTTTAGTCTCTACATAAGGATTAATGATGTTAATAAAGGAAAAATAAAGATTTAGTTAAGAACAAAAAACACATAGGTACCAAATTGAAAATTGAAAAAAAGTATAGGTACCTCCAATATGATTTTCCCATATAAGAATGACAGAATATCTATGTGATGAGGAATCAAACACCCTCTCTTATTGGTGAAAGGGTGCAGCTCTTCTCGCTAAGCCTGAGCAGGAGAAACGATAAAATGCTAGAATTTTTTTTAGTTACATTTAAATTTTTTTTCTATATATAGGTATCCTCTCATTAGAGATAAGCTTACTCGAAATACTAAATTTAGGTGTTGATATAGTTCTTATTTGAAATTACTTAAATAAGTATTTATAAGCACATTTTGTATAAATTAAGACAAAACTATTGTTATGTACTTACTTCATATTCTATAAATTATAATTAAAAAACTGTTTATATTAAACGGGCCTATATATGACAGGTTAGGCTCAATTTTGTGGCCCAACGCCCAACTTGGGTTCGATGGGGGTCAGATCTCAGAAGCATTTGTTTTTGTCACTATAGGCCCCAGATTTGAGCCCAAATAGACAAGTCATTCAGATCCCTGTTCTGATAAAACCATACGGTTCTTAGTTGGGGACTTGGGGGGCAAAAAAGAAACTAACATGGTTTTTGTTTTTTTGGGGTTGACCTGAACAGTACGTTTGATTCATTTCAATTCGCTGATCTTGAAAATAGGTAAATAAAATGATAGCTTTGTGATTAAAAGAGAGGAAAGAGAGAGACACCGAATCGTACTTGTCCCGGTGAATCAGAGGCGCGAGACAAGCTGACGTTAGAAGAATGAAAAAATGAAATCAAATTCAATAATTATGTTCAGTTTAATTAACAATTAGATTATAACCAAAATCAATAATTATGTTCAGTTAATTATATTCAAATCTTTTTTTTTCCATTATTTATATTTCAATTCAATTCACTTAATTATCATCTGCTCAAGTTTTATCATTTAATTTATACTACTACTGGTACGTTTACTCTGTTCAAATCTTGTTACAATTCGAGATTGTTAGATTGTTTAATCATTTAATCTATTGAAAGGGAGTTGTCTGTGATCGTGATTTGCATCAACTATATGAAAATTATTTTTAAACTTAATTTTATCATAGTCAAATTTTATTTTACATTAATTTAATTCCTCCACCACCCGCACTTTGATATCCTAACGCGTAACTTGAAAGCATCAAACCAACTAGAATAGTCAAAAGGAGTAAAACCAACAATAAAATTTCAAAGCAATAAAATGAATAATAATTAAGTATATAAGAGAAATGCAACCGGGAGATTTGAGGAAGTAGTGAACAAGTTTTGAGTTCTGGGAGAGCAGTAGTGGAGCAACATGGATTCAAGGATATGTATCTAAAACCGACTGAAACATTACTGAGATAATTATTAACACATAAGCTCAAGGGGAATAGCCAATAGGAACTAAAATCAGATCTTTTTCCCTTCTTATTGCTGCACCAAATGCCTCATCCATGTCCAATTCGTCAAGCCTCATTCCCTTTGGTAGTTTCCAATCAAAATGGTAAAGTAAATTGGAAAGTGCTAACTCCAAACCAGATGTAGCAAATACTAGTCCGGGACATATTCTTCTTCCAGCACCGAATGGGATGTACTCAAAGTTTGAACCTTTGAAATTATAATCAACCATCGTATCAAGAAACCTTTTTGGTTCAAATATCTCTGGATTATTCCAACTCTTGGGATCTCTTCCCATGGCCCAAATATTAATGATGATCTTTGTCTTGGGAGGTATCTCATGTCCATTAATTACACAACTCTCACTATTCTCTCTTGGAACCAATGGCCCTGGAGGATGTAGCCTTAAAGTTTCTTTGATGACAGCACCTAAAAACTTTAACTGGTGAAGTTCTGATTCATCTACATATCCTTTGTCTCCAAACACTCTTCTTACCTAACGTAGAGCCAATAGTAATTCTCATGTACAAGTCAATTGAATAATTTCAAATTTATAAATCAATATGAATAAGTAAATAAATAATCATCGATACTAGGAGTCACATTTATATACACAACCTACAAAATTACGATACAACGTTCAAAATTCTAGGTGTATCTATACCTCTTCTTGTGCCTCTTTCATGGTTTTTGGGTTCTTGAGCAATTCGGACATCGCCCAATCTATCGTACTTGCTGTTGTTTCAGTTCCACCAAAGAAAACGTCCTGAAAAAGAACTTGTACAATTGATTAATCAAAGGAATGTGTGTGAAAAAGAACTCATACAATTTAATATGATAGAGTGCACACGAAGACTGACTGTAAGAACAGCTTTAATGTTATCAAGAGATAAGGGAATCCCAAAGTCACTATCCTTTTGAATCCTCAGAAGAACATCAACTAGATCCTCCTCTGCCCCTCCAACATTATTTCTTTTCTTCTCTTTGTGGTCTCTGATGATTTCGTCAAATACTTTGTCTCCATCTTTTTGCAACTTCGTCATTCGAGCTCTCAACCCAGTGATGACACTGATAAACTCTAGTGAAGGATATAAATCAGAGATTGATAACCCAGAGCTTAGCTTTACCGTTTGCTCCATAACTTGTAGGATCTGTCCTACGTTCTTTGTCTTCTTCCCAAAGGCCGTTCTCGCAACTATGGAATTCGTGAGTGTGAAGATTTTTCTGCTAAGGTTTATGAAAGAGCCTTCATGTTCAGAGATGTTCCTAACGAGTGCTGATACCTCTTCTTCCCTAATCCTTCTGAATGATTGAACCCTCTTCGCTGAGAAAAGCTCTAAAGTACAAATCTTTCGAAGCTGTCTCCAATAGTTTCCATATGGGGAAAACACGATGTCTGTGCTATTATAGGCAAAGATATCAGAGGCAAGAATCTTGGGTCTGTTTGCAAAGATCTGATCATGTGTCTTTAGTATTTCTTTGGCATATTCTGGTGAAGAAATTATGATGTGGGAAAGCTGTCCAAGCTGAAGATGCATGAATGGTCCATACTTGTTTGCAAGATTTGTGAGAGAACGATGAGGTAGTGACCCTACTAGTTGGTGTAGGTTTCCAATGAGAGGTAATTTCCATGGTCCTGGAGGTAGGGTTTTGACAGGTTTCTGGAAGAAGATAGCTTGGAGATCACAAAGAAAAAGCACAAGAAAGTGAAGAAGATGATGGAATATGGGATCTGTATTTCCATATGGTCGCGCATATAATGAAAGAATGATGAAGTTAAGTGCGGGGTTTTGCTTTGTCAAGTTACGCCTTTTGTTGTTGGTGTGAATTGTATAATGTATAAGTAAAACAAAGATCAACAATATGATTTTTTTTTCTTTATTTTTGTTTTGATGTAAATTTCATGCCATTGACTTGATACAGTTTAAACAAAGTTCATTATTGATGATTTTTTTGCCAGCTTAGTATTGATAATTTTATGTTATCTCATTTATTCATTCCACAATGTCTATATCATAGCCCGTCGAATAAAAAGCTGTCAAGTGCTTTAAAAATTATAATGTCTATGTCATAGTCCGTCGAATAAAAAGCTGCCAAGTGCTTTAAAAATTATAATGTCGTTGTAGTCGTTGAAATTTATTCGCCAAATAAAGCTAGCTTTTGGCCATGTACATCGCAATATATCCTGATATAAACATGATTAACCCCATTTTCATATTTATGAATCAAAATGAATAGATAACTAATCCATTATTTTGTAAGAATAATATTTATACAATTAGACAGACTCCAAAAATGTCAATAAAACATTGAAAATTCTTCTTCTTCTTCTTCTTCTTTTTTTGAGCAATTCTGACATTGCCCACTTTATTGAAAAAGGGATTCACATTTATCATTAGACGGATACGTGTGCTCAGTGAGTTCATTCATATGGTTCCAATAAAATTCAGCTGTTCGTGATAATAAAATAAGATAGAATAGAAATGTAATATTAATGAATATTTCTTTTTCTTTAATTCTCGCGTGATTCATGCATGTTATATAATATTTCAGCTATCAAATTATCAATCTGTTTTTGTTTGTTTGTCTCGTTCCTTAGCTACTATACATGAAGAAGTGTCGTTTTGTATTTGCTTCTAATAAAAAGGTAGTTGTTTGTGGCCGTAAAATAAAATAATCGAAAACCACATATTACTTTAATTGAACATATCAATTTGTTTGAATTAGTACACCGAAAAATAAGGTAAAAGTTAACATCAACTTTCGTGACAACAATGATACTCAAATCAAACATAAATGGAACTATAACCAAAATCAATAATTGATTTCAACTAATCATATTTAATTTAATTCGCTCAACTTTATATCGTTTCTCGAATCTTGAGATTGTTAATTAGATAATCAAGATAGTGGCGATACACACAAACACACACACACATTATGAATGGACCATTTCAAGAAACGAAAATTATTGGAAGTGCACAGAACTGTCATAATTAAACTCGTAATGAATTATTTGCATGAATTATATGAAAATTAGCCTTATTTTAATTCTAAATAATATTGTAAAATTTTGGATAGAGTTGATGAAGAAAACAAATATGGTTTACGCGATTTTAATCTCTTTTACTGCTCACTTTTTAAAAGTATATGATCGTACAATATTTAATTTATTTGTTTAGGCAAAATAATGGATACTAAATACGGAACTATATTATTTTTTTATTATTGATTTTTGCCTCCACAATATAGATCCAAGGATATCTAACACCAGCCAAAGCATCATCCAGGAAATAATCACATATAACCCTTGTTAGAGGAAAAGCTAATAGGGACTATATTCAGATTGTTTTTCCTTCTTACTGTGACCCCAAATGACTCATCCATCTCCAATTCCTCAGGTTTCATCTCCTTCGTAAGTTTTCAATCAAAGTGGTAAAGCAAATTGGAAAGCAACATTTCTAGAACAGGTGTCGCAAAAGTGATTCCAGGACATATTTTTCTTCCAGTACCAAATGGTATTTACTCAAAGTTTGAACCATTGAAGTTGTAATCTACCATTGTATCAATGAACCGCTTTGGTTCAAATCTCTCTGGTTCATTCCAAATTTTGGGATCTCTGCCGATGGCCCAGGCATTAATAATAACCCTTGTCCCAGGAGGTATCTTATATCCATTGATTTCACAACTCTCACTATTCTCCCTTGGAATCAATAGTGCCGCGGGTGGATGCAGCCTCAAGGTTTCAATGATAATAGTATGTAAATATTTTAGTTGATGAAGTTCTGATTCGTCTATAAATTCCTTGCCTCCATAAACTCTTCTTACCTAATGTAAAACCAAAAATAGTTCTCGTATGTAGGTCTATAAATCAATATCAATAAAGAAATACTTCTCTAGTCTTTAATATAAGACTTAATTAACTAATTTAAGTAGATTAAGGATATTAATTAAATTAGTTAATATGATAATTTTTTCTAAAATACCCTAAATATCTTTTTAATTCCCTTCCTCCTTCTCTCACTTGATTATTGTTGAAGAAACATCAATAGAGTTAATTTGGAAAAAAAAGGTTGATAGTTATATGAAATAGGTTTTATATTTAGGACTAACATTAATTCTCTAACTAGGCCTATATTAAAGACCGAAGGAGTAACCACTATACTAAGAGACAAATTTACACACAGCCTAAAAAATTCAAAATTCAAATAGTGTCTATACCTCTGCTTCTGCCTCTTTCATTGCCTTTTGGTTTTTAAGTAATTCTGACATAGCCCACTCTGCTAGTTGCTGTTGTTTCAGTTCCAGCAAAGAAAACATCCTGAAAAGGGATTCACGTAATTAATCAGAAGGATGTGCATGTTTTCTTGTGTATAAAATTACTAATTATGTAACATTTATATGATATATTGACCACATGCTTACCAAATACTGCTATGAATAATATCTGGTTCTATTATTAAAACTCAACTGAGTAGCATACATGGTCAGCTTATATAGAAAAGATGAGATACTCTGTTTTCATGACACGTGGACGCTTAGCTGTCACTTAGTTGGGTATGCTAACAGAATATAGAAATCGCAACTAACAGGAGGTTAGAGATATAGCTCATATTCCCCCTGCTTTTACAAAGAAATAGAGTACAGGGAAAAAAAAGAAGCAAACTTGTCCTTCAGTAGCAGTAGAAGCATGATCAAAGTCTGACTCTTCTTGTGTGTCTATAGACGTGATGTTGAGCTTGGCACGACAGTAATACAACAAGGAGTGCGATTGTGCCTTTATAAAGATATCAGCCACTTGATCAAATGATGGAACATATCCTACATGAACAATTCCTGCAGCAACTTTTTCTCTTATAAAATGAAGATCAAGTTCCATATGCTTAGACTTATGATGAAGCACTGGATTGGCTGATAGATCAACTGTCCCAGAGTTATCACACCAAATCGTTGGAGTATCTACAATATTGATTTTCATCTCCTTAAGCAGCGCCATATCCCAGATAATGTCTGCCACAGCATTAGCAACACTTTGATACTCATACTCTGTAGCTGATCTAGAGATTACTGACTACTTTCTAGATGTCCAAGTGATTGGATTTGGACCTAGGTATGTGCAAAAACCACTTGTGGACTTTCTGTCAGGTCTGCTTCCTCCCCAATCTGCATCTGTGAAAGCTTGTAGACGAAGAACTGGAGCTAGTTTGATGAGTAAACCATGCACGCATGTACCCTTGAGATATCTCAATAGCCGTTCCACACAGTCCCATTGCTTTACTATAGGCTCATGCATAAATTGACTGAGTTTGTTGACTATATATGAAATGTCAGGCCTTGTATAGCAAACATACTGAAGTGTGCCAAGAATACTTCTATAGAGAGCAGGGTCGGAAAATAGTGCACTATCTCCAGGTTTTAAGTGCATATTGACTGCCATAGGAGTACTATAGGTTGTAGTAAGCCACAGAATCTGTAATGCAGACTCCAAACCTACTAGTTCAGGCAATATGGATTGGCTTACTAAAGAAAGAAGCCACGACGCGAGTGCTGAATCGAGTGCCTCGTAGTTCTCAAAGGCAAGATTATCGACTTCAATTCCCTTAGAATCACGAACCTTCACAGAGCTATCTTCACTATTCTGACGAGATAGCCTTTGATCTTGTGCTGCTTGACCATAAACACCGCTTGTTGCTTCCATAAGAGATAGTTGGATTCATCTAATTTGATGCTAATCTTTTTATTAGTGAAGGAGGAAATCGAAGTGGATAAACCTGTATCTACCAGATTCTCAGTGGAACCAGAAGGAGTTGACATCATTTTTATTGATCGATCAATCCTTATCAAAGATCAATCAACGCCGATGCTTATAGATTTGTGGTAAATGGAGATCGGAGCACTGCCGATGGCAGTGGCTCTGATACCATACCAAATACTGCTCTGAATAATATCTGGTTCTATTATTAAAACTCAACCGAGTAGCATAAATGGTCAACTTATATAGAAAAGACAATACTCTGTTTTCATGACACGTGGACGCTTAGTTGTCACTTAGTTGGCTATGTTAACAGAATATAGAAACCGTAACTAACAGCAGGTTAGAGATATAGCTCATAATACTAACTTTAAGAACAGCTTTAATGTTGTCAAGAGATAACTGGATCTCAAGGTCATTGTCCTCTTGAATCTTGAGAAGAACATCAACTAGATCATCCTCGACTTCTTCAAAATTATCTCCTTTCTTTTCTTTGTGTTCTCTAATGATTTCATCAAACACTCCATCACAATCTTTGTGCAACTTCATGTTCGATCTCTCATCCCAGTGATGACACTAATAAATTTCAGCAAAGGATAGAAATCATCAATGGATAACCCAGAGCCTAGCTTTATTGATTCTTCCATTGTTTGCAGCAAGTATTCTACATTCTTTGTCTTTTTTCCACAAGCCGCTCTCACAACTACATAATTCATGAATGCGTAGATTTTTCCACTAAGATTCATGACAGAACCTTCATGTTCAGAGATATCCCTCACAAGTGCTAATACCTCCTCTTCCCTAATTTTCTTGAATGATTGAACCCTTCGTTTGGAGAAAAGCTCTAAAGTACAAATCTTTCGAAGTTGCCTCCAATAGTTTCCATAAGGGGAAAAAATGATGTCTATGCTACTGTAGGTCAAAAGATCAGAGGCAAGATTTTTGGGCCTATTTGCAAAGATTTGATCATGGGTCTTCATTATTTCTTTGGCATATTCTGGTGAAGACACTATGATATGAGAAACCTGTCCAAATTGAAGGTTCATGAAGGGCCCGTACTTGCTTGCAAGATTTGTGAGAGAACGATGGGGTAGTGAGCCAGCAAGTTGGTGTAGGTTTCCGATGAGAGGTAATTTCCATCACCCTGGAGGTAGGTTTTTGGAGCTTATGGATCACAAAGAAGCTGAAGAAAGTGAAGAAGATGATAGAATATGGGATCTGTATCTGCATATTGAAGGAATGGTAACTAAAGCTATCTGAGAGGTTTTGCGTTGTCAGCCTGATTTTATAACTCAACAATTGGAGTTTTTGAATTATAATTTATACATACGTAATGAAGATTGACTGTATGATTTATCCTTTACTCTTTGTTTTAACGTATATTTCACGCCATTGAATTACTACAGTACTTGAAGGGGGAATATATACATGTTCTGTTTTGCAATGTGTCATATCACCATAAGTAAATAGATGTAATGTTTTCCAGTGATCTTATATCATAGAAAAACCCGTTATAAGTTTTCTTTTCTAATTCTTAATTACTCTTCCGGTTCTAAATATAAGACCTTTATACTAATAACATAATATGAAAAGTTAGTCTATTTGTTTATCAATTAAATAACCCCTTATAATTAGGATAGGAAAAATTGTAAAAAAAAGACCTTGAAAATTGAAAAATTACATGCATAGACCTATTCATAAGAATTGTTGTCATTTACTTACCAATTGTTGTTAAAACTCATACTAATATTGTGATGGTTCCCTATTCATATTTTTTTCCATTTCCGAGGTCTTTTTTCTGATTTTTCCTTTAGGATAAGCTTTGCACCCATGTGATGCACGTGACATTGTGTGATTGTAGTACATTGTCCTTGGGCCTATTTGGGACAGTGATGACAAATACTTATAAATTCAAAACAAAACTCATCTTACATAATTATCTCGTATTTTGTAAATTATGATTAAAAAGCTACTAATAAATTATTCCAAACAAGTCCCTTATGCATCATGGCTTCTACTTTCGTCATCTATGGAAATTATTGTCTATCATAGAAATTATGGGACCATTGTTTGTTGTCGTGTGTGTGTCCGTTTTTAAACCAAAATATAAAAATTATATTCAATTTAATTTATCAGTGGTTTAGGTTAATGAATTTGCTGCCCTGCCCTGTGTATGCGCGCAAATAATTATATATAGAACTCGTTCCTTAACGGCCCTGGCCTCATGTTGGATTTGTTTTCAGGTTATTCAAGCAACAAATATATATTTTAATCAAAATCTAAGTCTTACCACTCTCGCCCTTCTTATAAATTACTTACAGGGTGTTTAATGATTTCCCCCCAGTTTTACTCTTAATAAATTCTGGTTAGAAAGAGAGAAAGAGATGAGAACGATTTGTGAATTCAGAGAGAGAAAAAACTTTAATAAGAATAAATTTAAATTTTTTTTTATCAATTTAATACTTTTCTTGATATATGAGAATGAATTATAAGTAACTTATAATAAGGATTAGAATGATATTTTTTAATATATAGAGTATTTTATGAATTGTAATGTCAATTAATATCTTTCAATTTAAAATGTCTCCATAAGTATATTAAAATTGCTTTTTTGGTTAAAGTATATTTTTAGTCTTTTAACTTTACACAATATTTTCTTTAACCCTAAAACTGGTAACAAAAAATGATAATATTAAACTCTTGAATGCTGATAAAACATTACTAAATATTAACATATTAAGTTTAATATTCAAAACAACCATGATTGTTACAAAAAATCATACAAGGCTAACAATTATGGAGTTAAAGGACTAAAAATAGACTTTTTAAAGTTAAAGAACCAAAGTGAAACCTTACATAAAGTTAAAGGATCAAATATATACTTTAGCGTACTTTTTCCCCCCATTTCATTAATATGATTTATTCCTCATGTATTAGTTAAGGGAGTATGATTATTTACTGTTCCATGTTGTTGGGAGAGGATTGCTCATCCCCTTCATTTTATTTTCTAATCAGCAGACTAAGATCTGAATGATCTAGATTTTAATACTTATCACGCTTAATGAGTACCAAAACTCATTTCGACTAAGATCTGAATGATCTAGATTTTAATACTTATCATGCTTAATGAATACCAAAACTCATTTCAAAATGAAGTAGCCATGACAATTAGAAATTTTTAAGACACTTGCAAGAGCAAAATTGTTTCGTTCTTTTGTACAGTTTATGATCACTTTTTTTTTTAATCTTTTGCTTAACTCGCTTAAAAGTTGGAAAAGAATGTCATGCTCCGGCATGTTAATTAAACAATGTTTCATGCTTGACTGTCTGATGCATTAATGGCTCAATGCAAACACTTTTGGGAGCATATTCTATATTAATAAAAAAGATATTGAGCATCATGCTCATCTTAATCTAAGAAATAACATATTAATTTTGAATGGTTCAAATTTAATTTAATTATTTTTATATTTTAAATAATTTTTAAATTTGGATTATCCATTTTAGATCACGAGTGATCTTTGACACCCAGTATTCATCACTAGGATGAGCATTGAATGATAACCTATCATATAGATGAATTTTGTAGTCATAAATTTTATAGCACTAAATTGAAACTCAATTTCAATCTACAATTTTTGTTTTTATTTTTTCCTAAATATTAATGCAAAGACCACATCTTCAAGACACACACACACATATATAATCCTAAGGGAAATGGCGAATAGGAACTACATTCAGATTGTTTTTCCTTCTTACCGCAGCTCCAAATGACTCATCCATGTCCATTTCCTCAGGCTTCATTCTACTGGGGAGTTTCCAATCAAAATGGTAAAGTAAATTGGAAAGTAACAATTCTAGAGTAGGTATAGCAAATGTAATTCCAGGACATATTCGTCTTCCCGCGCCAAATGGGATGAACTCAAAATTTGAACCATTGAAATTGTAATCAACCGTTGTATCAAGAAACCTTTTGGGTTCAAATCTCTCTGGTTCATTCCAAATCTTGTGATCTCTTCCAATAGCCCAAGCATTAATAATAATCCTTGTTCTTGGAGTTATCTCATATCCATTGATTTTACAACTATTACTATTCTCTCTGGGAACCAACAATGCCCCAGGTGGATGCAGTCTGAAGCTTTCTTTGATAACAGCACCTAAATATTTTAATTGATGAAGTTCTGATTCATCGACAAATCCTTTGCCTCCATAGATTCTTCTTACCTGAAAATCCAATATATGAAGTCTCATGTAAAGACAAATGCTGATAATTTCAATTTTTTTACATGTATATCAATAAATAAATAATCCAGTATACTAATAATTAATCATATTTATGCACACGAAGTCCACAAAATCATAATACGTATTCAGAATTCTAATTTTACTTGTACCTCTGCTTGTGCCTCTTTCATTGCCTCTGGGTTTTTCAGTAATTCTGACATTACCCATTCAATTGTAGCTGCTGATGTTCCGGTTCCAGCAAAGAAAACATCCTGAAAAAGGATTCACAATTGATTAATTAAAAGGATGTTCATTTCTTTCATCATTAATTATGTAACATTTATATGATATAAAGTGCACACACTAACGAACTTTAAGAACAGCCTTAATGTTGTCAAGGGATAAGTGGATCCCAAAGTCATCCTCCGCTTGAATCTTGAGAAGAACATCAACTAGATCATCCTCGACCTCTCCAAAATTATTGCCTTTCTTTTCTTTGTGTTCTCTAATGATTTCATCAAGCACTTCATCACAATCTTTGTGCAACTTCATAACTCGAGCTCTCATCCCAGTGATGACACTAATAAATTTCAGCGAAGGATAGAAATCATCAATGGATAACCCAGAGCCAGCCTTTATTGATTGCTCCATTATTTGCAGTAGATGTTCTACGTTCTCTGTCTTTTTGCCACACGCCGCTCTGACGACTACATAATTCATGAATGCGTAGATTTTTCCACTAAGGTTCATGACAGAACCTTCATGTTTAGAGATATTCCTCACAAGTGCTAACACCTCTTCTTCCCTTATTTTTTTGAATGATTGAACCCTTCTTTTAGAGAAAAGCTCCAACAGACAAATCTTTCGCAGCTGCCTCCAGTAGTTTCCATATGGGGAAAAGATGATGTCTGTGCAATTATAGGTCAAGATATCAGAGGCAAGACTTTTGGGCCTATTTGCAAAGATCTGATCATGTGTCTTCATTATTTCTTGGGCATATTCTGGTGAAGATACTATGATATGAGAAAGTTGTCCTAGTTGAAGATGCATGAATGGTCCGTACTTGTTTGCAAGATTTGTGAGAGAACGATGGGGCAGTGAGCCAGCAAGTTGGTGTAGGTTTCCTATAAGGGGTAATTTCCATGGCCCTGGAGGTAGGTTTCTGGTGGGTTTCCTGGAAGAAGATAGCTTGCGGATCACAAAGAAGAAGCAGAAGAAGATGAAGATGATTGAATATGGGTTCTGCATTTCCATATTGAAAGAATGTACTCAAAAGGTAAGTTTGAGGTTTTATGCGTTGGCCGGCTATGCCTTTTATGCTCAACACTTGAGGTGTGAATTACAAGAAAGATCGACTTGAATGCAAAAAGACAACATTAAAACGCCAATATGTGTCCATGTGTATGTATTTGTTTCTGGGACAGGCTGGTGTTTTGGACATAAAAGGGGAAAATAGAACCAGTCGGCATTCCGGCATGAAAGCAAAACAGACAAAAGAACAAGGCGGCATTTTGAGCATCAAAGAATTTTTATTTTTAATTCAGATAGAAGAAAGACTCCTACTAAATATAAAAGCTTCTAATATAAACAACCCATTATATAATATTGTAATAAATATATCCAATTATAGATAAATAAAGACGTTGTTTCACCTTTGGTTATTATGAACTTTACGCCTGATTTTGTTTTGACGGAGCTTTGGGCCTGATATACCATGCTTTCAACACGGCAATTTTCTCGTAATTCCTTTTTCTCTCTCTCTTTTTTCTTCCAGAATCTCATTTTTACGGTTAAATTAAAAAAAATAAATGGTTTAGATTTAATATTTTAAAAAGTAGATGTTTAGCTTTTTTTTTATTTATGTAATATTATAATAATAGTTTTATAAAGTATGAAATTGAAATCATTCATTATTTGATCTGATATTGGAGATAAGATTATGAAAAGAATGAGAAATCCCGAGAGTATCTTCTAAAATTTTATCTCTAAAGTTATTTAAATGATGAGTTGTGCTGAGTAAGAGATGACATATTACTCGGTAGGTAGGTAGATGAGATGGCATTGTTAACGTGAAATTGTTTACACCCAATCAGATTTGTTCTCTCCATCATCATCATCTTCTTCCGCTTCCTGGACGACCGCCATGGATGCACAGGTAAGAGAACCTGTAAACCCAGACAGAGAATTTTCCGGCAAATAATGAGACTGAACAGTGTCTTGTTGATTGTGATGCTCAATGGACAGCCAACTACTACCTCTTATTCTAATTATAAGACTTTGTTTGAAAACCACAAATAAAATATTATAATTAGGACGAGAGTACTAGTCATGGAGAGCGCTAATTTTGAGATGGCAACTGTGTTTTTTCTGCTTTTAATTTTAATTATAAAATCTCATGTTTACATACTACAAACTTATAATTGGGATCTGAGGTGGTACTAGTCATGAAGAGCGCAACATCTGAGATGGGGACTTTTGTTTTTTTTTACTACATCCGATTTTAATTATAAAATCTTGTTTGTAGATTATAAAAAAAGTTTTATAATTAAGATATGAGATACTCCTCCGATCCTTAATATAAGATCCATTTAACTAATTTGATTAGATTAAGAAAGTTAGGTAAGTTAATTAATTATAAAAAATGTGACATATTTTTTCTAAAATACTATAATTATCTTTCTTAATACCCCTCTTCTTCTTCTACTTAATTATGGTTGAAGGAGTATCCATAGAGGTAATTCAGAGAAAATTGATAAATATGATAAATGAGTCTTATATTTAGGATTAAAACCAACTCAATAATTGAGTCCTATATTAAGGACAGGAAGAGTTGTATTTTACTTTAAAAACTCAAATGTGCGTCAAATTAATGAATAATGAAAAAGAAAAAAAGCAACGATTCAATGTTAGGCAAGGCTGGAATTGCAGATTCTCCGCTGAATTAGCCACCTGCTAGCAAAGCAAAGTCAACGATTCCCCGACATGAACGAGTGACATAAAAATAAAAAACATACTATTTTTTTTGTCGATAATAAAATGTCATTTATTTTATATAAAATCTAATGATAAAAATATATAAAGAAATTAAAAAAATTAAAAAACTTAGGAAAAATTAAGAAGCAGTAGACACCTCAAATCTACACCCGAGTCTATATAATTATCATCGTGAGGAACGCAAGATTCTGCTTTAAACAGGGGAGTTTGAATTACAGACTTGTTGATTGTAAAGTTTGATTATCACATAGTGTTACGGAGTTGAAATGGTTACAAAATTTTGAAGGTATTATTGAGCATAAAAATTGATACAAAATTTTAAACTCATGTCTTATTAATTTAATGTTAGTTAATATTGGAGAGACTTGGAGAAAGCTACTAATAAAGACAAACAACTACTTTGCGCAATTTCAAGGTTTATTGTGCTGCTCTCTTTTGGGAATCTATGACTTGGAAAAAAGCACCTAATATATAATTTAATACAAAATAAAAATTCATTGCAAAATGATTTTTTTTATTCATCATTTTTGGCTTCCACAATATAGATTCAAGGGTGCATAGAACCGGCGAAACATCACTCGGGTAATAAACACACGCAGTATAAACTCAAGCATAATAGCAAATAGGAGCTAAAATCAGATCATGTTTCCTTCTTACCGCGGCACCAAATGACTCCTGCATGTCCAATTCCTCAAACTTCATTCCTTTTGGTAGTTTCCAGTTGAAATGGTAAAGTAAATTGGAAAGTAACAACTCTAAAATTGGCGTTGCAAATGTAGATCCAGGACATATTCTTCTTCCAGCACCAAATGGAATATACTCAAAATTTGAACCTTTGAAATTATAATCAACCATTGTATCAAGAAACCTCTTTGGTTCAAATTTTTCTGGATCATTCCAATTCTTGGGATCTCTTGCAATGGCCCAAACATTAATGATAATCTTTGTCTTAGCAGGTATCACATATCCATTAATTTCACAACTCTCACTATTTTCTCTTGGAACCGATAATGCTACTGGTGAATGTAGCCTTAGAGTTTCTTTGATGACAGCATTTACATATTTCAGCTGGTGAAGTTCTGACTCATCTACGTATCCTCTGTTTCCATAAACACTTCTTACCTAACGTAGAGCCAATATAATAATTCTCATATATAATTCAACTCAATAATTTTAAATTTATCAATCAGTATGAAGAAATAAATAATCACAGAAGCAAAATTCAAAACTCTAGTTGTATCTGTACCTCTGCTTGTGCCTCCTTCATAGCCTTTGGGTTTTTGAGCAATTCTGACATAGCCCATTCTGTTGTAGTTGCAGATGTTTCAGTTCCGGCAAAGAAAACGTCCTGACATGAAATTCAGAGAATTGATTAGAGGAGTGTGTGGGTGCTATTGTGCTTTTTGTGTACCAAACATCAAGTTATGTAACATCTAATATGATAAAGTGCCCCAGAGAACTAACTTTAAGAACAGCTTTAATATTGTCAAGAGATAAGGGGATGTCAAAGTCATTATCCTTTTGAATCCTGAGAAGAACATCAACAAGATCCTCCTCTGCCTCTCCAACATTATTTTTCTCCTTTTCTTTGTGGTCTCTGATGATTTCATCAAACACCTTATCTCCATCTCTATGAACCTTCATCATTCGAGCTCTCGTGCCAGTGATAACACTAACAAATTTCAGCGAAGGATAGAAATCAGAAATTGATAACCCAGAGCTTAGCTTTATCGATTGCTCCATAATTTCCAACATCTGTTCTACGTTCTTTGTCTTTTTCCCAAAGGCTGCTCTAGCAACTATGGAATTCGTGATTGTGAATATTTTTCTACTCAGGTTTACGAAAGAGCCTTCATGTTCAGCGACGTTCCTTACAAGTTCTGATACCTCCTCTTCCCTAATCCTTCTGAATGATTGAACCCTCTTTGCTGAAAAAATCTCTAAAGTACCAATCTTTCGAAGTTGCCTCCAATAGTTTCCATATGGGGAAAACACGATGTCTGTGCTGTTATAGGCAAAGATATCAGAGGCAAGAATTCTGGGTCTGTTTGCGAAGATCTGATCATGGGTCTTCATTATTTCTTTGGCATATTCAGGTGAAGACACTATGATATGAGAAAGCTGTCCAAGTTGAAGATGCATGAAGGGTCCATACTTGTTTGCAAGATTTGCTAGAGAACGATGAGGTAGTGAGCCAATGAGCTGGTGAAGATTTCCTATGAGAGGTAATTTCCATGGCCCTGGAGGTAAGGTTTTGATCGGTTTGGTGGAAGAAGATAGCTTGTGGATGACAAAGAAAAAGCAGAAGAAAGTGAAGAAGACGATAGAATATGGGATCTGCACCTCCATATTGAAAGAACGATAATTAAAGGTAAGTGTGAGGTTTTGCGGTGTCAAGTTACGCCATTGGGTTGAATTGGACCGTCCAGATCTGATTTGGACAGACTGAAATAATGATCGACTTCTAACTGATTTTAAAATTTCTGGACCGTTTTATTTTTCATCAGTTGATGAGCACTGCTCATATTTCAAGTTACGCCTTTTGAATTGTACAACTTAATGATCGACTTTATCGTTCATGCCATTGACTTTGCTATCGTTCAAAGTTCAAACAAGGTTTATTTAAAATTGTATATTATAATATATCATGTACATAAAATTCCACGATATCTCTATCATATTCATATAGTCAGTGGGAAGAGAAGCTCCCAGAGGCTTGAAAAATTATACTCCTTTAATCTTATTTATAAATCACTTCAAACATGTTTCATACAGAACAAGAAAAACTTTAAGTCTCATTAACTCTCATTTAAAATTCAACCTTCTAACTTTAGCCTTATTTAAGATGCATTATACCTCATGTAAATAAAATCAACATAATAATAAATGAAGGATAAAATTGTATATCTATACAAAAAAATTTACTTAGTGTTCTATAAATACGACCAAAAAATATTTTCTCTCTCTGCCCTATAAATAGAACCAGAGGACTATTATACACCATGATTTCAGATCATAATCATAAAAATAAATAATTATATTAAAATTGATTGATAAGGAAAATTCAGCAAAAATTTCTCACTGAAAATTTGATTTGTGAGAAGGACACAAATCAGAGTTGGTATTTTATATGCACAAAATTTGCAGAATATTGATTTTTTTTATGTATAAAAATTTATCCGGTTTTTCTTACCAATACAGTTTTCAGAGAAAGATATTTTTTCTCTCAATTTTTCCTATAGAGTTGATATGTTATTTCA